TGCAACAATTCACACGTAAGATATAATCCCATTCCAACACATCTACAAACTGCCAAGTAGCAAAAACATTTTCAGTGGAAAATGTACAAAATGATCCAGATCATACAGTTCAATTTCAAGTTTCAGGAATGTTAATTCTAAAGATCTTCAAGCTCGACAATGAAGCACAGAATTCATCAAATTTCTTCTGCAGATGATGCAATTTAATCTAAGGAATCTGGTGTTTCCGTGGAGATGAAAAGCACTTAGACACAAATGCAGCAAAGCTTCTGCAAGAATAATCATATTTCACATTGAAACACTACTCTCTTCTATATTTATCCCCAATAAATATTACAAGGCGTATGTGGGCCTACTATAAAAGGTCTGTACTCCCCTGGGGCCAGGCTAACAACTCTCTGTATGTTTACACAGAGAGACTAGCTTATTGACCCTTCCTTCTACATTAGCCGAGTAAATGTCCCTGATGGCTGGGAGGAGCGGCGGGTCTTACTGTCCACTATGCACACTGATGCCATGGTAGTCAGGCATTATATGAATGCTTCAATAGACAGTTACAAATTAGGAAGTAGTGGTAGTAGAGTTGTTTTGTCTGCATTTAGCAATATGCCTTTAATGCCACCATGTGGGCACTAGAAATGGGCTTCAGACATTGTACCAATTACAAGAGTGAGTGAGTGAGTGAGCGTTGGAGCATAGTTTACGCGCCGCTTTTAGCAATATAACAGCGGGGACACCAGAAATAGGTTCACACTTATGTGGGGAATTGAACCCAGGTCTTCAGCATGATGAGTGACCACTCTAACCACTGGTCTACCCCACTAAACCATAATAAGTCATTGAAATAAACATTTGTCTTTTCCTAAATATCTTTTGGGTTAAATTGGTAAAAATAATTAAAATACATTCAATAAAAGTCTTCTTTCATTGGTATTCTAGACAACTTAACAACTCTAACATCTGTCCTTTAAGAAACTATGCTGTAATAGCAATGCATTTTTCTTTGAATTAAAATTTAAGTCCATTGATGAAATATTTAGTTTGTGATCTGTAAGTATTACTGATAGTCTATGTTTTCTATACCAGTAGTAGGTACCAAAAAACCATGATTTGTATTACAAGCCATCATGAAACAGTGAGTGGGTACATGTCCAAATGTGACAGTGAAAAAAAAAGTTTTGGAATATAACACCACCTTCAAGTCAGAAGTTTCAGAGTGAGTAAGGAAAAGCACAATTTTATGGTCTGCAACTTCTGGATTATTGCATTAGTGACATTTAAATGTAGATTTAAGAATGTACATCGAAACATCGTCAGTCCAATAAAGTAGATGTTATAGTTAGTGTTTTTATTTACTCATAAATGTCATGAATACCAATTAGATTTTTTATTAATAAATATAGATCCACCAACTCAGAAATGACACAGAAAATAGATAATTGTGGTTTAAAGCTATGCTAAACTGACGTACAAAAGAAAGTATACACCTTGTGCTTTGGGATTATTTTCCAAACGACATGATATCCCATGTCCTATACTCTAAGGGATATCTGGGGTGTTTTGTCAAAAAACATACACAACAATGTTTGTATCATGGAAGTTAAAATAGTGCACTTTTAAAAATAGTTATGTTTGTGTTGTTTCTTAGACCATAGTCCCAAAATACTGGGTGTATACTTTCTTTTGTACGTCAGTTTTATATGATTGCCTGGTAATTACTTTTATGAATAACAAATAATATATCATTTCCTTGACTAAAACAAGCAGTAAAGCAGTAAAAGTTTGAGGGCCAGTATTTGTTTGCCAAAATGCTACTTATTCCAAGCTACACTAGTACCTAAAACAACCAAACATAATTGATAAGGTAAATACGCACATGTATTAAAAATGAAATGCTTTTCAAGCAAATGGCAGTCTTTATGATTTCTTTAAAGTTTCAAGTAAGACTGATTTAGCAGAAAAAGTGGGTTTTGTGTCAAATAGCCTTTGTCTAGCCCTTTCATCCAATTCAGGACAACCACCATGTTCAATGTTATATATATTCCAAAAGGTTAAACTACATTCTAGTTGTGCCATCTTAATGTCTACACTTTACTTCATTACACTTGCAGTTACTGGCAGAAGCTAATCCCAATGTGACCATGGGTTATTAAGCCTCATTGTCTTGTAATGTTGGGGTAGCATCGTGGTTAAAGCATTTGTTACCATGTGACATAGGTACACTGTGTGAAACCCATTCCGGTGTCTCCTGCCATTATATTGCTAAAAGCGGTGTAAAACTACACTCACTCACAGTCTTGCCAAATAAGCTAGTTTCACTACTGCTTCAGGACATCTTCTTTGAGTGGCATGTTTAGAAGTTGGAGAATCAGATAAGGACAAAATTTTATGGATGTACAAATTCTTTATTTGGATGATGCGACGTTTCGATACAGATTCTTGTATCATTGTCAAAGAAGTATCCTTGACAACTTGCTTGACAACGATACAAGCATCTGTATCGAAACGTCGCATCATCCAAATAAAGAATTTGTATATCCATAAAGTTTTGTCCTTATCTGCTTCAGGACTGTGTATCTTAGGGCAGTAGGGTTAAAAGCCCAGTTCACTAACGTCTGTTTGCAGTGAAAATGTACAAATGAATTTCACTTTAAGCAAAAAGTAAATCAAATATAGTGAAATTACGATTGCAAATCCTCATAATTTTACCTTACCAACTGAACATTTAAATCTCAGAATTTTATTCAACTTAGGATAAACGTTGTTTCACAATCGATCATAGTTTCAAATCGCTATTATTGGTTTCTATTACAAGGGGTTATGCACATTAAATGAAACACAGAGAACATGTTGGATTGGTTGAAGTTAACACTCATCACGTACCACACTGTTCCAAATACTGCGCTTACCCCTTGTAATAGAAACCAATACCAGCGATTTGACTCCCTCCATAAATACACTGTGTGAAGTCATTCCTGGAGTCCCAAGATATTGTTACAGTACAGCACTTAGATCACAAATCAGGTGAAGATAGCAAACTTCTTTAAGTAGCATTTTAGAAGTTAGGAAGTACAATATAGACAAACTTTATGTATAACAACTTTATCTCGTGAGTGTGATGTTTCGATATTGTTATTTGGTTATGACATTCTTGTTTGACGCACTCACAAAATAAAGGAAGTTGTTATCCATAAAGTTTGTCTGCAATGAAGTTCGTCATGGGGAATAGTCAGATGGGGTGACATGTTCTCACAGTATTATGGGTTCAGGGGGGTTCGACCCCCACTCCCCGTTTTGAAAATGACTTAAGACCACATTGAAATTATTTTTTTTTGCGTTGGCAGAGCCAAGGGGGGTTCAGGTGTTTTTAACCCCCTGAACCCTCCCTTTCAAAATTCCTGGATCCGCCCATGACATGTAGAGCTAGCGGAGTCTTCTACAGCTAGTGAACCCGTGAAGATCTGGGTATTAATTCCGGGTCTTCAGCAACCATGCTTGCTGTAGGAGGCAACTAACGGGATCGAGTGGTCAGGCTTGCTGGCTTAGTTGACACATTAGTTGACAATTGCGTAGATCGATGCTCATGCTGTTGATCACTGGATTGTCTGGTTCAGACTTATTATTTACAGACTGACGCCATATATATGGAATATTGCTGAGTGTGGTATTAAACACAAACCAACCAATATGCCTCTGTTCACCTAGCAGTGAATGGGTGCCCGGTAGGAGGAGGATATTGTGATGTGAATGTTCTTGTGCCTCAGAGGCTGCTTAAGTTGTATGTTCCCCAGGGAGATGAGAATAAATACCAAGCACACACTGCTCCAGTGACCAGGATAATAATATCCTATCATTGTCTAAACACATTTGAGCAGTAATAAATTAGGTGTGTTACACAAATTCATACTGTTATATATCAAGTGAAATAACACCCATCTCACCTACTAACTGATGACAGATAACGAGGAAAGGCTAGTTATGTGGACAAGTTAGTGGAGAGTGACATTCTCCATTCATCTTCCCTGATGTATTGCATCGGCAAGTCCGTCTACTTCGAAAGCTGGGTCAGTGTACAACACTGTCCGGCTTCAGGTCAATTTTAGTTGAGGCACTATGGAGACCACTTGTCGATTTAGGACATTTTGTAAAGGTACGCATCACTAATAACTGTTAAGATTTATATCACTCTTAGATCACATTGCCTATTGTAAGTGTGCATTTGTGTATTGAAATATACATGGCGAAAATCTACGTTTTAAACTATCTATGAGGATCCTTTTCAGCAAAGGGCCACAACTCTGCCAAGTAATTTGTGGCACTTTGAAATTACTAGATGGTCTTTACTACACAGAATTTGTTTTCTTTACTTTACCCCAAACAAAAGGTGTACAGGACTCCAAGCTGTTCCTAAATGGTGGAACAAAACATTATTCTATTTAATAGTCGCAAGATGCCATAACCAGTTCCATTTATACGCAAAGAAGATTCCTCAGGGCATAACACTGAGGTCTTACTAGTTTATAGTATAGAGGTGGGCTCAGTTTTCACAGAACAATTTTGAAAAATTTGTTTTGGAGCATAATAGCTGATGTCACCATGGCAACTTCTTTTTCTACTTTGTTTTGCATAACATATTAAGTAGATGTCACCATGGCAACTTCTTTTTCTACTTTGTTTTGCAGAACATATTAAGTAGATGTCACCATGGCAACTTCTTTTTCTACTTTGTTTTGCAGAACATATTAAGTAGATGTCACCACGGCAACTTCTTTTTCTACTTTATGTTTCAGAACTTATTAAGTAGATGCCACCATGGCAGCTGCATTGTATATTTTGTTACGGAAAGTACTGATGCTATCTTGGCAGGGCAACTTTATTATATCATGTGTATTACAGTACATATGAAATGGCACCAAGACACCTACACTGTATACCATGTGTTACAGAACATTTTCAAATAATCTCACCATGATAACTGTATTGTACTATTTCTGTTACAGAACGTATTGAGTTGTTGCCAACAACAGGCCAGGACTCCATGGCTGCCAGTGTCAACGGGTCCCCCCAGTTTCCCCCCACCCAGATGAATGGCCAGGCCAATTACGTTACAGCAGAGGAAGGAAGGACCCAGGTGGCATATGCTGGGTAGGTCACCAGGTCACAGGTCAATAGGTCACTAGGTCACTAGGTCTAGGCTGACAGTGAGTGAGTGAGTTCAGTTTTACGCTGCTTTTAGCAATGTTCCAGGAATATCACATCCAGGACACCAGAAAACTTCTTCACACATTGTACCCATGTGGGGAATCAAACCCGGGTCTTCAGCATGATGAGCGAACACTTTAACCACTAGGCTACTCCACAGCCCATTGGCAGACAGAGTAACTGCTTCATTTATTTTTGTGACAATATTTGGTTTCTAATGCAGTTGTGAAAAGGACCCACAGTGTTTATTAGGACCATCTCCCTCTTAATGTACTACAGAATACAGTTCCATTGCTCAAAAAACAAACAACCAACATAAAACTGCCACTTAAAAAACATAGACTAAACTTTATACGCAATATACCCAACAAAACAACCCATTAATCAAAAGTATTAAATCTCACACTAAAGACCTCCATGGCTTGTACACCCAAATCAAAGAGCAGGGGTGATTTGTTTGTTTGTTTGTTTGGTTGGTTGTTGTTTACCATGGCGCTCAGCAGTATTTCAGCTATATGACGGCAGTTTGTACATACTCAAGCAGGGATGAAGCCTACTAGTATGCAATATGGCATGACTGAATGAGCCCGTAACACCATGATCAAGGATCGATGAGAGCCCATGCTTTACTTCCATACATTATTGATGCTTAAAACAAAGTACCTGCTTCTAGTCTCCATGTTCAACAAGGTAACAAATATGACCTACTTTATGAGCTTGAAGTTGTTCCTGCTTTACATAAGTGGGTGGTCGGGTAGCCTAATGGTTAAAACATTCACTCATCATGTCGAAGACCAAGGTTTGATTCCCACATGGGTAAAATATGTGAAGCCCAAATGTGAAGCGCTATGATATTGCTGGAATAGTGCTGAAGGCGGCATTAAACCATACTCTCTCACTCCTTTACATAAGGCAACACAAAAAATGGTGGAGACTGGAATGCATGAGGGTGTGTGGATGGCCCAGTCCGAACTGTTCCTACCCTTACATGTGTGCCAGGTACCAATGACCATGTGTTTGAATCCAGATTCAGCTGTATTGTGTTTATGCATCATACCTGTTTTTTGAGGGCTTCACAATGTTGGCAAACAAAAGACATGTAGCACTCCTGGCTTTCCTGTTGACTACTACTATTTAAGCAAATCTGGCTTTCAAATAAATTATCAGCAGATCCTGTCATGGCTAAGGGAGGTAACTCTGCTTAGTATATTTTACTGCTGAATGATAACCACTGGGCCTCCCATACCCTATGAATGTCAACTGATTCCAAATGTTTTAAAATCTGATGTGCTACGTAATATGAAAGTGTTGTAAATTATTTGCATATTTTAGGTTTTCGCGTTGCTGTAGATAATGAAAATAAAGCTCATAAAAATGTAGATAATAAAAATGTAAAAATTTAGCTGATGACTAATACTCTGACTGCACAGAATCTCTATGGAATGATTTCTTCACATTCTAAAAAAACCAAACCCAACCCCCTTTTAATGAGAAACATTAGGCTAATCACAGTGTGGAATAAAGAACACCTCTATCCAATCAATCTTCCGTTTTCTGACGTGGTGTGGTGATTATTCCTCAATGTCAGGTAATCAGTTACTTGTAAGTATCTTCCAAATGTCAAGTAGGGGGATTGACACTATCAATATTGACCTCTCCAACTTGACCCTGGCTCCTGTCTCCCAATCTCAGACAGCATTGTAAGAGCTTGAAGTTCATCAGAGACCAGGAACTCTGTACTCCATGATGCCTGGTGGGTTTGTTTTAGACAGAATTTTTTCCATTTTTCAAATGAGTAATGTTTTCTTTCAAAGAAGGACCCACAATACCTTTTTTACAACACATTTTTAAGAACACTGAGTTTGTCCAGTGAACCTCTTTTTGTGAGTGATTTTGAGGACAAAATAACTTTCTTATTGAGGCCATATAATATTATTAAATTAATCCCAAATTGTGAAGATCCTGATTAGAATTGGTCTTCAGTAACCCATGCTTGTCGTAAGAGGTGACAAACGGGATTGGGTAGTCAGGCTCACTGTCTTGGTTGACACATGTCATTGTATCACACTTGCATAGATCGATGCTCATGCTGTTGATCACTGAATTGTCTGGTTCAGACTCGATTAATACAGACCGCTGCCTAACTCACTCACTCACTCACTAAAATTAATCCCAGCTCTACCCACAGATATAGAACAAACTTTATGGATAACAACTTCTTTTTATTCGTGAGTGCGACATTTCGATACAGATTCTTGTACCGTTGTCAAGCAGGAGGGGCGATGGGGTACACTAATGTTAAAGCGTCTGCTCGACATGCTGAAGACCCGGGTTGGATTCCCCACAAAGGTACAATGTGTGAAGCCCATTTCTGGTGTCCCCCGCTGTGATATTGCTGGAATATTGCTAAAAGCGGCGGCGTAAAACCATACTCACTCACTCAAGCAGGACAATTGCACAAGAATCTGCATCGAAACATCACACTCACGAATAAAAAGAAGTTATCCATAAAGTTTGTTCTGTATTGTACTTCCCAACTTCTAAAATGCCACTCAAAGAAGTTCTACCCACAGACTGACAAATGATAAAATTCTTGGTTAAACAACATATTTAGAGAGCATAACACTTGTCTTATGAATAAGCTTTAAAAGTAAAATATTTGAAACTAAAACATGTCAATATTTCCCCAAATGTTTGTGAGTGCTGCTTACTACAGTATTTTATTTCTATCAGAGCATGAAATTTTATGTGGGAGGAAGGCATACATGGCGCTTCCATTAAGCAGTTCACCATTTTGTTGTAACCTGTGAGCTGATGAGTGAGTGAGTAAGTGAGTTGAGTTTAACACCACTTTTAGCAACATACAAGCAATATCACAGCAAGGGACACCAGAAATGGGCTTCACACATTGTACCCATGTGGGGATTCTAACCCGGGTATTTGGCGTGACAAGCAAACGCTTTAACCACTAGGCTACCCCACTACCTCCATGAGCTGATGAGTGCAGGTTTAGAGCTGACAAATGCAGAAACAAACTCAAAGTGAACCAGATAACAATTATGATCTTTGGTTACTGGAACACCTAAGGGAGACAACTTTAAAAAAATGAAGGAAAAAAATAAATAAATTGTGTCTTATTGAAAAGGAAAATGTATAATTTGAGTAATTATGGTAAGTTGACATGCTCTCTACCAGCTCTGTATCATCAATACAGCTCGGGCCTCATGCAGTAAAACCTAGATGATGTATAACTGTTTGTCATAGAAATGAAAGGTCATCTTAAATTAATGATGAATGTGTCTAAGTTTGACCTACAAATGTTCACTCAAATTAGGTTTACAGCTCAGTTGAAACTAATTTTTGCATGGAGAATATCATGTCATACTTTCATCAACCAGTCTCTCATGTCAAACATCTTGAAACTCAAATGAAAGCTTTAGAAATATATTATTTTTTCCCAGTCCATTGATATTAAAAAAATATTATTTCACATGAACTAAAAAGCATAAAATGTCCCATAAAACATTTACTGACATGGGCTAAAACAATTAAAAATGCTAACTGACATGAGCTAATAAAATAGAACGTTAAATCAAATGGGCTTACTGAATTTGATGACATTGTTGCCGTTGATTATCTCATGTATTGATATCAAAAAACAATCTAATTATTGTAAACATTTTGCAATATCTTAAAATAAATCAAATGCACAGTTTCAAAGCATTTTGGTATGGAATGGATAAAAACCTACATGTTTGAAATTCTCACGTCCAAGCAGTTTAGACCTCTTGCATCTAATAGCATTTCGGTTCGGAGTTTTTTAAGCTGCAGTGAGGCTACCTGAAATATTAAAGCAGTTGGTTTACCTACTAAAGATGACGTCTGCTGCATGTGTCCGTCTGTTACAGCACCCCCCAGGCGTCTGGCAAGTGGAAGCCAACATGGTTGGGAGGGTGGACTCGCATGGAGGTGCTCTTCCTCATCCTAAGTCTCATCCTCGCTGTCATCATCGTTGTCCTCATTGTTGTCATCGTCGCCACAAATGGTAAGTACTGTGCATGTGCTCCCCTAGTGATACTCCACTGTACACAGCGTGTAATGAAATACACTACTCAAAGGAAGTCAGGGTTACTATTGTTCGCCTGTAAAAACTCTAAACCATTATTCCTTAACAAAAATAACAAAATACATTGCCTGTATTGATGTATCCCTTCTGCTGTACTGGAGACAAGGCAATGGCATGAGAATACATGCTTGAGATTACCAATCGTTTGTTGCTAGACGTCTGAATGTTAGTCTGAGCAAGATATCACGGCTTGCAGCTTGTTACAACCAATCAGGTATGATAAATGACCGTCCCCGTACAGGCAGACCTTGAGTCACCAATGTAGACCAACATCAGTACATCTGGGTACTACATTTGCGTGATCGTACTGCCACGGGGGATAGCACAGCAGCCAGGGTGCCTGGACTTCGGAGGATATCCGGTCAAACTGTACGAAACAGGTTGAGAGAGATTGGACTGAGAACCAGGAGACCCGACATCAGGACCGTGCTACGTTATCACCATCACGCTCATCGTCTCCGTTATCTAAAATTATCCACTTGGTTGTATAGACATGCCCTTCTTCTAAACTGATGTAAAAATTAATGTTCTAAAGTCTATTTGTGGACGAGTTATACATGTTTGAAAATACAATATTTTCGCAACAGATTTCTGGCCTATGCTTTTCTTTTTTGGGATAGTATATATATTATATAGAATCACCTACCGTATATGCAGTTCTATTCACTTCCATATAACTTCCAATATTAATATAAATCATGAAATTGAACCAAGGTCTCATCCCTGGTCTAGAATACATCATGAAAGTAATTCAACCATGCCCACCTTATAAATAATATAATATCTAAACAGAAATCACAACACAAAGACTGTAGATTTAAAATTACCTAATATGGCATAGCCTCACAGGTGATTAATCAAAATCACCTTTTATTTTTTCCCAAACTTCCCTTCTCCATGCTGGAAATTCCAAATTAGACTATGCAACCTACAAAGACTGTACATGTTTCAAGAGTTGTAACACAAGTAACAGCCTTCCTCTGATCTGATCTAAAGCATGTCTGTACTAACATAAAAATAGAATGCCATACAAATTGCTGTGCAATCTGCCATTCTTTGACCTTTTAGCCTTTGGTGTGCGTTTCAGGTCCATTTGATGGTCATTAGATCTGATTGGTCTTGGTTTTTTTTGCATATCATCTTGGTTGTTCATGTTGGTAAAGGTTATTCACAGACATTTCTTCTATATTCCATTATTCATATCAGTGCTGAGGAGGAAGGGCACTTTTGTTTACCACCGATTCATAGGAATGGGTAACAAATGTCAGATTTTAAAATTTTATCATAATGAAAAGGATTAAAAATTGGGTTTTTAAACCTTATATAGATTTGGTCAATAGGAAAAAGATTAAAAATAGGTTTTTAAATGCCACATAGATTGGTCAATATGAAAAGGATTAAAAAATGGCAAAATTTAAATCTTATATACCACCTTTACAAATTTCTGAAAGTGATATGTGCACAAAAATACAAATATCCATCACCATAGCAATAAATCCAAGTTTCCCGGTCATCTTCACCCATTGTCTATATCTATTTCTGTTTTATCCAGAGAAACATCTGAGACTATGTGTCTGGTATCATGAATACCTGGATAACAACCAAAATAGACATGTATATATTAATCTGGCACATGGTCGTACATGTAGCAGGCTATCAATGCCTTGACGAAATGTCAGCATCATGCGCTTCTCACAGCCAGCACTCAGCTGGAATATACACCACTAAGCTATTTATTAGACCCGTGAAGATCCGGGTTAGAATTGATCTTCAGCAATCCATGCTTGCTGACTTGGTTGACACATGTCATCATATCCCAATTGCATAAATCGATGCTCATGACGTTGATCACTTGATTGTGTGGTCTAGACTCAATTATTTACAGACCGCCACTATGTAGCTGTAATGTTGCTGAGTGTGGCATAAAACTAAAGTCATTCACTCACTATTTAACATACTACCAGGTCCACAGTACATACTGCACTTAAGGTCTGACCAAAGGGGATTGGATGGGCAAAATGTCCTGCCTGATGTGTGTCACAGATATTTGCTCATGTCTGCAGTGTCAGTTGTCTTGGTACCATTGGTGTAAGTACACTCTGCCTGGACACTACCTGATGTGTGTCATCATGCTCAAGCTACATTAATGGTTGCTCATGTCTGTAGTATCTGTCGTCTTGGTACCGTTGGTGTAAGTACACCCTGCCTGGAAGGGCTGAATAATGAGGATCTGATGGACACTACATGATGTGTGTCATCATGCTCAAGCTACATGAATGGTTGCTCATGTCTGTAGTGTGTCGTCTTGGTACCGTTGGTGTAAGTACACCCTGCCTGGAAGGGCTGAATAATGAGGATCTGATGGACACTACCTGATGTGAGTCATCATGCTCAAGCTACATGAATGGTTGCTCATGTCTGTAGTGTCTGTCGTCTTGGTACCGTTGGTGTAAGTACACCCTGCTGGAAGGGCTGAATAATGAGGATCTGATGGACACTACCTGATGTGTGTCATCATGCTCAAGCTACATGCATGGTTGCTCATTCAGTCAAACCCTGGCTGTGTCATGCTCTCTTTAAATGAATGTAAATTAATCTTTCACTTGTGCACAATATAATATGGAACTTCTGATTTCTGTTGATATTAACCTGCATTGCAAAGTATAATTTATTAAAACAATTAAAACACTGAACCATCTGCCTTGCAACTCCAAATTTTACATTATATAGTTTCAAAATTGCTGACCGGGCATAAAACAATATTCACTCACAGTGACACAAGAAAAATATCAACTTAATGGTTTAATTTTGTACATACAGACCTCCAGTAAAGGATCCCTCTTTGGCAATTTCTTTGTCAATGAGTGAGTGAGTGAGTGAGTGAGTGAGTGAGTGAGTGAGTGAGTGAGTGAGTGAGTGAGTGAGTGAGTGAGTGAATGAGTGATGTCCAAATATGAGTGAGTATGTGAGTGAGGAAGTGAGCTGTTTTGATTTGATGGCCCTTATTGTAATAATCCAGCAATATCACAGCAGTGAACACCAGAAATAGCTTAACACAATGACCCAGCTGGGGAATAAAACAGGAACTTGTGAAAAATGAAAGGCTTAACAGGCTGCCACAGAAACCCTTTGTGCTTCAAAGTTATAACCTTCATCAAAGGAACAGTATAACTTTAAACTCCAATCTCACCTCCCTGGGGAGTATGGAAAGTGTAACTACAATAGGACTACTACTGGATTAAAAAAAACAACAATGTGGTCCAAATTGATATGTTCGACTTGATTCATTACAATCACAAAAACTAACACAATTATAAAAAAAATCAAGATTACATATGCAATACAAAATCATTTTAGTTTAAATGACCAACTTTGGAATCCTATGCAACAGAGTACTAGACAAACAGTGACCCCTCACTGAATCACCAGCATCATGTTTTACCGATATCCCTTCAGCCAATTAATCTTGAATCCATTGCTCAATGGCAGGTAGGCTGGCAGCCAGCCAGCGCACACACTATCACCTGTTTGAAGCTAATGTTGTTTTCTTGCTAGACAATACCACGCACATATGGGGATAAGGTGAGATCATCTACTGTAGTCCTTGCAATAAATGCACCCACAGACACATCGATGCATCATGCAAGCTGCATTTTCAGTCTAAGAACCACCAGGCTAATTTTATTATTTATTTTATTATTGGATATTTATATAGCGCACATATCCATGCACTAGTGCATACTCAAGGCGCTAGTTGTTGTTTTTCCCTTGATCATTGAATGTCAATCTCAACGGCACATCTTATTATCAATCTCAACTCCCTGGGGAGAATACAACTCTTGCTGCCACAAGGTGCACCAAGTTATTGCGGCTTTCACATCCTTACAAGGTTCCCATTCACAGCTGGGTGGACTGGGACACATAGTCACAATAATTTGTCCAAGTTTACTGCACGTTGCTGTACCCGCAACAAGGTGTTCATGTGGCCACCATCTGGCCATATACAAATGGATTAGTAGGTTCTTTTTAGTGCACAGGGTTGTGTACTGTACACTAGGGGTTGTGACAACAATGAAAGAGTCTGCACACAAAGTTGACTCCAAGGTTTTTACACCTGGTCACAGGTGGGCTCGATCCCGGCACCTCATGCCTGCTGGATCACTAGCCTGGTGTTAGCCAGCTTGCCAACCACACACCCTAATCAAGTTATTTTCAAGCATGTCAAAGCTGTATTTGTCAGATCCAATACAGCTTTACAAGGTGGGGTAGGTGACCCGAGGTAGGGTGAGATGAGGTGATGGGTGATGTTGTGTTCATCATTTGTCAATCCTATATTGACAAGCATGTGTGTGTGGCTGCTTATATCAATGTAACTTATGTGGACTTAAAAGTGCTAGTTCATGGAGATACCACCACGCAGTTAAACATGGATACCCAATTTGGACACATTACACACATAATGACATAAACCCGACCAGTCCTGGTTTCATCCCTGTAACGCCATGCCGAGGCAGTGTAGCAAATACCATCTTCATCATCTTTTGGTATCTATGGCCAGGGTCCCTGGGCCTAGATTTTCGAAGCTCTCTTAGCGATAAGATAGTCGTAAGTGCAAGACATTAACATTAACTTACGACTATCTTAGCGCAAAGAGAGCTTCGAAAATCTAGGCTCTGTTCTCCATCCACATGCTCTATCCACTACTCGGAGGAGGCAGATCGGTTTCACATGGACTTGTTACCCCTACAGAGCTAACCATCTGAAGTCATAATGATATAAAGTATATCCTTATCAATCTATGACATCATGAACAATGCATGATGTCATATTGAATTGTTCTTAATAATGACGTATTGTGATGTCTTAACTCTCAAACTAATCAGCTCTGAGAACAGAAAAACTGCATGTGTTTAAAAAAC